CTCCTTGTCAGCACCTTAGGAAATGTATAGAGAACAGTATGGAGAATATGCACATTGACATGAGGGCGTAAAGGATTGAGATAAACCTTCCCTTGCACCTGCTTACCCATACTTGTAATTTGGAAAAAGTTTTTACGGATTTTGATAGAAATATTTTGGATATCGTTGCTTTCCTAATTGCATACACGTTTTGATGTAATGGAAACAAAATGAGTCAGAACCGAGTTATCGTAATCCTGGAACAGTACGTCGTGTTCAAAGTCAAACAATTCCCCATTAGATCACCAACCGTTCTATTATAAAAACTCGGTCAGGTGCAGTTGATTACAGAAAGATCTAGAACATTTAGAGAGACGTATTCTTTTATCTGCTAAAAGCCTTCCTTCAGATAGACCTTTTTTTTTCCCTGCACCTGCTCACTGACACTCATAATTCTAAAAAAGAGAGAGGTTTTAATTAAATGTTTTGGATTCTGCTTTCAAAATTATGTTAATAGCATGTACGTCTTGAGATTAGGGAAAAAAAACTTAAAGGAGAAATCAACTCCGAGTAGGCTCGGTCATTTTCATAATCACATACTTCTCAACACTTTCAAGAAGTGCTTTCACCGATAAATTTATTGTTAGCTTCAACCAAACATAGAAACACCACGAACATAACTTGTTTGTGATAATTCCAAGGAATTCATCTTGGCGTTAATTAAACAAACGCTCGAATGACTTAATTGTCTGACTGTCTTAAAGACAGACAATAGAAAATTTACTTTACAAGAAATGCAGTTTGTTTCAAAATCCCAAATTTGGCAGTTTTAGTTAATTAACAGCGTTTTAGAACACGCTACCATAAGGATTATTGATGACTCATTTTCGCTGCAGGTATCACGTTTAAATATTTATGTTTTGTGACAACAATTTATCACAACATTTGCACTTTGGCCTCAATCCATTTATTTTCACGCTTGCATAAAATTACACTTATGTTTGCTACGAGTTTTTGAAATAAGTCTCAATTAGCACCCTTGTGCTGTAGGTGGCATGTCGACGAGTCAATAACAAATGGAGTAACTGCATAGAAGGACTTTTTTCTTTGAGTTTGAGGTGTTTTTTCCTAGGACGTCCAAGGTATACTTCCCTTTGTCTGGAAGCTGGCAGTAAATAATTTCTCTTTCATCGCATCTCTCCTTGCTCAAACACGACTTTTCTTGAGTTTCCCCGTTTCCGGCGTTTATCAGACGAACAATCAGTTTGATAGCGTTTGGATTAATGAATGTGATAGCCACGGACCCGTCATACACAGTAATATTCTGTCGGTGACTCTCCAGTCGAAGACCCCATTCCCGAAACTCATCCGAGACGCGCGGAAACCCCGGGTTCTCCCCGAATGCCGATGTCGCCAGCACACTAAATGAACAAAGAAATTGCCCCTTAGCGCTTGGACCGTCCCGTCCAAAAATGTTTAATTTGTACAAACCAGCGACAGGCAAATGCACGCTGATTTTGCTGACGGATCCTTCTCTTTCAGTGAAGCACAGCTCATGGGGGAGATTGTTATCCCCTTGGTGTAGAGTTGCTTGAACCAAAATACTCCCTGGGGTCTTAAGTTTTATCGAAGACCTTCCACATTCTGACAGGATATTTTCGTGTTGGTCAACCAACTCAATCTGCCAGGTCTTGAAAAGTTCTGAGATCTGTGGGAAACCTGGATTGTTGCTTACACCTTTTAAAGCTTTGATTGTGAAAGAGCAAAGAAATTCAGATTTCGCGTCCACCGTTTTACGACCGAAGATGTTCAACGTGAAAAAGCCGCTTTCAGGAGCATGAACTTGAATTACAGACTCGTTTTCCATGTTCACGACTGCGCACATTCCGTGAAGATCTTTCTCGTCAAGTCGGAGATGAGCAGACAATAAAACGCCTTTGGGGTTTTGAACGGTGATGGAGGTTCGGCCATTTTCAGCTAAAATGTTTTCCGAGTGGCTTGAAAGGGTCAGGCCCCACACTCGGAAACGCTCTGATATTAAAGGAAAACCTGGCACAGGACCGGCTCCTTTGTAAGCAGTGACAAAGTATGTGCACAGATACTCCTGGGGCCTGGAATGATCGTAGTAGTTGGCGTAAATGCTCAGTTTATATTCTCCTCTGCTCGGCAAGTGCACTTTTAGGCAGAAACCATTCTCGGTTTTTTCGCTGCAACAGAGCCTGTGGTCTTCCTCTTTCCCGGTTCGTTCGCCAGAAGTCTTGATTAACCTTCCCGTGAGCGAGTCGAAACGCTTTTTACTACAGGTTAGAGTTACACTACATTTACCGTCTTTCGTTTCGATATTCCTTAGCGGGCTGTGCAACTGAAATCCCAGGGATTTAAAGTTAAGACTAACTGTGGGAAATCCTCCTCTGTCCTCCCCAACGCCTGCCGTGGAGTAAATGCAGTATCTGACCCCATGTTCCCACTTGGAGTCTATAAGCACCATAACGTCCAGCACAAATTCCCCTGCAGAGGGAAACTGTGCCGTTAGTTTAACTTTGTAATTTTCACGAGCTGGCTCAACACGGACCATATTTCTGGTAGTGGGTCGTTCTCTCCCAGATACACAGTTTTTTAGCACTCCTTTCAGTATGGCGCTGTCCGTTGCATAAAAAGTCATTTCAATTTGCTCGCTGTCTGAAGCAGTATACATGCTCTCTTTGTGGCTACTCAGAGCCACATTCATCATACGAAGAGGACCTAAAGGGATAGCTAATCTCTCAAAGGCTTCTTTTGTAACCGGTGCATCTAAAAACTGCCATTTCTCTTCAGCAGGGAAACGATTCGTAATTGCAATCGAGGGCGGAATCATGAATTGGTGTACGTTAGGATCTCTGTGGAACATCATGTCCTCCTCGATACTACCTGCGCCCCAAGTTGGATCACAAATAAACCACTTTCCACCGTTCACTCTAATAACATTCCACGAATGGTTTGGTTCAGGAATTTTCTGCCGCATCTGGTAGCCATATCCTTTAGCGAACCCTCTTACTTTCCGTGCTGGGACGTTCGAAGCTCGACAGAGCTCTTGAAATAAATTAGCATACCCTTCACTTATCGTGACGCGTTCCCTAAGCACACTTTCGGCATCTGTACCTTTCCTTGCTGCTGTTTCGAAATAACCCTCCACGTCGAAGAAAATGTTGGTTGTTATCCATCGATAGACAGCGAAAGCCTTGCTTTTTAAGCTTTCATACGGCTCTGTAAGATATTGGCTCAGTTTAGTGACGTTTTCCGTTTCGCTTCTGGGTATCGATTTGACGTGTGCGTCTACCGCCCTCTCCAAGTCAGAGCGAAGTGTAAGCTTACGCCGACGAATGGCTGTTAATGCCCGCCGGCAGCGGATCTGTAAAAGCGCAATTCCAGCAGGTGAAATCGTGCTGATTTTCTCCCTTTTCTCTGGTGAATCCTCATGAAGGAATACCACGGAAGGTCGAGCAAAAATACCTCGTTTCGGTGCGCAAGGAAAATATTGAATTCCTTTGTAACATCCGTCATTTCCTTGCTCTATTTCCTGCTGCATCTCAATTCCAATCCATTCTCCTTCGCCAAGTTCGGTAACACCAACAAACTTTACAACGCCGACATAACCGCGCACATGAACATCATCGCCGATTTGAAAGCTCTTGCGTAACGGGGTAATTAATCCCACACCATTACAGTTTCCAGTTCTCTCTAAATGTACATCTTGATTTTCGAAGCCGCTTTGCTGCTGGCCAATATCTGTGTTCTTGTTCAATGCTTTAGATCCTCGATTTCCTTCTTCTTGAGTATGAACTTGTTTCACTTTAGGAGCATCGGGGACATCTGTGTTGACTTCCAGTGTTTTAGAATTACTGCATCCCATGTTCGATAAAATTCTTGCAAGCTTTCAACATTTGCGCTTTTCTCAAGTGGTAGGTCAAGTTTCGTCGGCTTGATTTGAAATATATTTTTCGCTCTTTCGTTACATGGCCGCTTCGCACGTAAGACACCTTTTCAGCTCTTGCTCTCACATTGTGTTTATGCTAAAAGTGGTGACCACAGCATATGCTTAGAGAAAATTAAAAATTCCTTTTTGTTAGGTAGATAAATTATTTATCAGCGGTTTGTGTAAACGACAATATGCCTTTTCTCCGGTTTCCCAGCAACACAGAACTTAATCTACTCTTTCAAGCAGTAAGTAATGGGGAACCAACACAGGATAACAAAATTGACAATAAATCCGATGAGATATGGGCAATAGCGAACAACTTCTGTCCGGTTGATGATTTTAAAATGCTAATTTCACCTCCGGTTGGCAGAAAGAAGAATAACTATTGTCCATTAGTCTGATAAACAACTCTACAATAACAGAATATATATTGCAATATTCTAATAACAAGACACTGCGCTGGTTGGGTGTGTTACCAGGAGAACCAATGAGTTACTTCTGCATGGGTTTTTATTAACTTTTCCTAACTATTACAATTTCAGTATTTACCCTTATAAATAAGGCATATTTTTGGTACAAAAGACATCATTTAGTTTCAATCCGAGTCCCGCTAACGTCCCACATAGCAACTGTTTTAAATCATTATTCATAACCATTTGAATTCAACGTTTTATCTCAAAGCTCTTTACAAAAATCGAATGACAGCTTTGGCGAGATTGGGTAAAATAAAATCTACACGTACTTACTTTTCAATTTTTAGTACAAAATTTCAACATTGAGAAACGATTTGCCAGTCAAAATTTTGGAAAATTTTTTAAATTACCGGTAGAGTCTTGGAGACCTGTAGGGTGTCAACAAGGTGTTTTTTTGGATAAGGTGTTTAGACACCCTTATCAACCTTTTGCCGGAATAAAACTTGTCATTTGTCACTGTCAACATACGTAGCTTTACAGTTTACAAAACCGACAAAGGGAAAAAAGAGGCCGCTAACTTCCATCTCTTCAACAACTCCTGTTTATTATTTATTTATTTTGTTCCCGCCCACACGTTCCATCTCTTGTTAGGTTTACTTTTCAAATGTTTCCCAATCTTCTGGCAAAATGGCTGGAATTTGTATTGAAACCCTCCTCAGAGAAGAAATTTTTGAAAGCGCCATTTCTTTTTGAGCGTTTTACGCAACGATTACGTCAAAGCAGTAGTTACGTCATGTAGGATAATCTCTCGCGCTAGTGAAGATTTTTCGTGTGCTTTGCCAACTAAAGTCAAACCTGTATTAAGCGGTCACCCACGGGAATAACACAGGTTCCACAGCTTAATACAGGTTCCGCAGGATAGGGGTACCACGAAAAAACGCCGTTTAATGCCATAACTGACCACTTATGTACAAAAAAATCCCTCAAAAATGCCACTAACATTGATTTCGGGCGATAAAATGGACTCATTTTTATTTAAAAGGCTATTCTTAGTTTAATTTGAGCTGATACACTTAAAGTGACCGTTCAGTAGAGGTGGGAAAAAAACTAACCGATGGCACTCACTCAAAGGTGACCAAGACCGCTTAACAGTTATTGGAGAGAAACAAATTCGGGACTTTTACAACCGACCGCAAAATACAAGGTGACCACTTAATACAGGGTCTACTGTAGTTTTACCATTTTCATGTGAAATACCCGAAATAAGCTTTGAAATTTCTTCTAAAACGTTAAGTGAAATAAAAGTTAAGAGCTCTATTAGGATCACAATCCGCCGCAAGAGTCACTCGTACCAGTTCTCTCCGCGGCACATCATCTCCGAGGACATCACGAAGTTGTTCAATACAACGCTCTATTTGACTGTTACCACGTGGCATGACGTCATCGTCGTTGTCATCATCACTGTCCTCCGAATATTCAACAAAATCGTCCTCGAGCAGGCCTTCAAAATCTTCTAAACGGGTAATCTGTGGATTAAAAGACACGATCAGCGCGCTGGAATTCATGGCCAATCTGGGGTAACTGGATTGCGTTCTTTGGCGAGACCTAGAGGAAGGACGTGCAACCATCACAATGACTCTCTCCCCCCTGAATATAAAAAATAAAGGCCAACTACCTGGGAAACGTGATGAAAAACCGGAAAGGGGGGGGGGGTCTATGGAAGACTGGTATCTAGACCGGACAAATACTAAGGGTCTCAAATAGCTGAGAAGAATGTGCTATCTTTGCTATGACATCTGGAAATGATTAGACTTTCTAGTCTTCTTTGATGAGGAAGAAAACCTGAACTCTCGTCTCCTGCATCTTGTCTGTACTAGTTAGCAGTGGACGTTAAAGAACCCACGCACTTCTCTCAAAGAGTAGGGAACGTAGCTCCGGTGTTGTGGTCTGGCCTTGTTTCAAAAAATTCCTAAGTTGGGAGCATCTGCAAAATTCCCTTTCAGCAATTGTAACTCCTCAATGCAGTCTGGGTTAAGTCCCCCACAACGTTGTAAAGCGCATTATGGAATTTTCCTGTAGAGAGTGCGTTACATAAATGCATCGTTATCATCATCATCCAATGTTGGAGGAGAAGCGGTACTCCTACCGGTACTCCTACCGGTACTCCAGCAAGTGAAAGAGCAAGTCTCTTATGCAGAGTTACGAGATAATATAGAAGCGGGTAACTTCCATTAAAAGATATTATGTTAATACTTACAGCAAGTGCCTGATTTACTTCCTCTGTTATTGGTTTAGCCTGTGGCCTAAATTATAAGAAAATGTTTGACATCCAATGAGATGTGTTGGTCTTACGACCTGAATGCAAGTTAAAGAGGATGAACCTCAGAGACTGAAAACCCCACTGAGCCTCAATAATCCCTCTACAGTTGTTCTTAGATCACCTACGTTTTCCCGAATTTCTGTGTGGAATCAGATTGGTATAAAGGTTGGAGTTTGCTTCGTAGGCGAGTCATAAGTAAAGCATGGTCAATACAATGAAGGAGTGTTTTTTTTATGACTCGCTGACCTTACCGTATATCCAACCACAATTCACTTACATGTTTTGACGAATTCTGTCCTCGATACTTTGTTTCAAAGTGCCAGGGAGCTCTTCAAACATTTCTGATTCCAAGACTTCAGGATGCAACGTTATGTAGTTAAATGATTCTTCCTGAAAAAAAATAACAAAAAACAAAAAACATAGGTACTCTTCACGTAGGGTTATGTCGCAATATCAAAATACCAAAACTGGGAATTAATTTTAAGTTGACTCATGAAAGACGAACTTGGAAACTTTTGGCACGAATTTTAAAGAGAAGCATTTGCAAACCGTGAGGTACATGTAGTCCCGTTCAGTGCTCTACGCGTCTCCTACCTTTAAACGAGCCACAGAATACTGCTCTGCCATACCAAGATACAGCAAAACGTTATCTTCATCGATGTTTCGAAGTAAGACTCCCTCACAAATTTCTTTTAGAGAATCCACCTGGAATTGAAAATGCCAAATTTTCTGTAAAAAGCCATTAAAAATCGAAGAAAAATAGAGACAGATACTAGTAATAAATTCCTTAGCGACCAAGAGTTCTCACTGAGATGTGGACGGCCAATCCTGGCAAGGAAAACATCACGAAGAATGAAGACTCGACGTAACAACAAGCAAAACACCTGAAGCGCGGGAAAACGCGTGTGACCAGGTCGTGATTGGTTTTGGTTTGAATCTGAATGGTTGAGAGTGTGGCGCGGGTTTTCTGAAACAAACAACCGGAATAAAGCAAAACCAAAGCGATTCCCAATTAGTTTTGACGCTCTTTTAAAAATTGCTCTATCGAGAGATTTCTGTTTTCCCATACGAACCATGGAATGAAATTCTAAATGAGTACTGCTTACGCTAATGCTCCGACTGCATTAATTGTGTCAAACACAAAGAAGAACGTGGTCGAGAGAAGAAAAGAATTTTACCCCTTACCTCGTACTTATCGCTCAATGCTATCACCTCGGCAAGCTCGTCCAAACTAAGGCTGTCCTTATCAAGAATACCGCTGTACAGATAACCAAGGAACTTGTAGAACAAACATGGACTCGTGTCTGGAATTAAAATCCGCCTGAAAACCAACAAATTGTATCTATCACTGGCAACTCGGCCAACAAACTCATTAGACAAGTAAATGTCGACCAGACCGAGGAGTTCAGAAATACGCCATTCTTTCTTCCTCTCTATCTAAAGGAAATGTTTCTTTATTTTTATCACTTAGGTTTGGGTCCAGTAACATTGGTAAACGGATTTTCTTAAGGCGTCGATCGCTTCGGTCCGTACGTGTATTTTCTATGCATTTCCTTTCTTCCGTTCACACGCAAACGAGTGAGAAACCAGACATTTTTTGCAATCGGTCCCTTAAGGCGATAAATTCACGAAGTGACGACCTCTAGGTATTCCTGGGGTTCGATGAGGTAAACGAATAAAACGCAAGATATTGCTAACATTGACGTAACTACTCCTTTAGAGAGTTTTTCGATTGAGTGTCGTACAACCAAACACAGAAGTAATCACAACACTTTTGCTTGGTTAAGAGGCTGGGGCGAGTTCTACAGACCAATCAGGGAACCAGAACTAAACTAGGCTAGTTTTAAAATTCAGTTTAAAATTGCTCTTCTTATTTAAACCAACTCCTTCTCAGGTCAAGCTTTTCCACTCCTTTTTTTCGACTGCGAACTGGTGAACCAGTTGCGTAAACAATATGTAAACGATCAGCATCGCACCCCAAAAAAGGAGCTTTAACAAAGCCCTCGTACCTTTCTATAGATTCTTTCATGCCACTCAGCAGTGCCCGTCTAAACCAATCACAACGTGTAGCTACAATAACACGATGGGCAGCAATCTCCATTACGTTCTGATCACATATTCTTTTGCACTCTGTGCATGCGGAGTAATGAGATAAGTCTGTTTTGTCAAAAATAAATTTCATGTCTGCATGAGCTCCAGATATCAATAGCTGGTTGACTGATTGAGCCAGCGGGCTCTTATCAGCCGGCGGACAAGTTATTACTGACTCCACACGACCTCTGCTCTTCTACAAGAAAGAAGAGAAAGTCAACTTAATTAAAAAGCCTTTTTGTCATAAAAATAATCTTATGAAAAGAAATTTCGAGAAACGTTTGATTGCTTATTTAAACGCTAAAGCGTTCTTTAAATACATACAACCTCTAAAAACTTATAAACAGGAAATAGGTTATATGTCTCCTTTCCCCTTCCCTCCCCCAAACTTACTGTTCATCGACAGAGTTTAAACTATTCCTGTATTATAATAACAATTGCAAGGATATCATGAATAAGCAATCACATGATTTTCACGAAAAGTTCAGATGGATCAAACAAGAAACAGTTATATGTCTCCCCTCCCCCCCCCCAAAAAAAAGAATAAATAAATTTCGAGAGACTGACCGCAGTGAATATCAATGACTGTTTTACCATCGCCATGTTCTGTAAGTGTTCCCACTCATTTTTTCTTAGTAATAAGGAAGTTTTTACATCCGTGAAGAGCGATTTCTCCTTAAAAAGTTACCTTTTCTCTAGTGATGTCCTCGTCCTTGTCCTCACTAAAACTCTCCTTTCGGAAACCAAGTTCCTGAACAAGATTGGTAAACTGGTCTTCATGAATTAAAGCAATTGTCTGTTCCACCACCGGCTCAAGAATATCTTTGTTTGCTAACACTTTTCGTAAACTAAGACTCTGCGAAAAGAAATAAGTTTATGCACAAAAGTCACAAAATCACCACCCATATGCCCCTGGAAAACTTTGTGACAAATAATAGGCGCCTTGTTCAAAAACTGACCAGCGAGGTTTACCAGTAAGTTTTCTTTAACAGATGTTCCTAACAACCTTTCTTCCCGATGTAAACAGTCTACAAGTTTTACTGACGAGTGCAACTATCATGATCTGAAAACTAACAAATTAAAATAAAGCTTTTGTTTAAGTTGTTTGATAAATTTTGGTCTATTGTAGAACCACTTGTTGAATTATTGATGCCCTAAAATGTTCCTATATAATAATTATGACGTTAAATTACTTGCTATAGATCGGCCAATTCTTACCACGAATGACGTCCACTCTTTACACAAATACTTCCACTGCTTCCATGGCATCTTTTTCTCAAATATTCTTGGAAATTTATGGAGAGTGCGAATGTGATCTGGTATCTGCATTGATTAAAATAAAACATCATCTACATGCTCGATGATTAACTGGACTCTCACCTTGTTTCTCTAACCTCAAAGCTTTGAACAGTTACATGAAATCCCAACGTATTTCATTCAAGTCCACCCCTAAACAGCCCCACCCCCTCCCCCTACATCTAACCATTGGTCTTCCCCAGCCTCTCTCCTTCAAGCCACCTCTGCATACGTCACTGTTGATCCTTTTCCAGTCCTTTCTCTCAGTATACCCACTCTACTAATACAATAGTCTCTTCTAATAACGCATACTTATTATTACTGACCTCTAGCATCATATTATCCATGGTCTTTAACACAGACCTCAGCTTCTGTTCTTCTGATAAAGAAGTAAAATCCCCCCTGAAACAGCGAAAATATGTGGACATTAAGGATAATACTAATTAAAAATTCGAAAACAAATACTAGTGTTACTACTAGTGCTAGTGCTGGTATTTAAAATAATGACAGATAACTATTACAAAAATAGTGATAAGAATAATTAATTTGATAGTAATAATAATAATAAATTATTTATCCCAATTGACGATAGTAACTATAAATTATATAATTGTTTATCAAAAAAAATACCTGGTGATAAAACATTGTTAATTTTATGAACAGATAGTGATTTAAAGTTGAGTTTTATATGGGGTCAACTCCTATTAAAAAGGATTTGCAAAGAATTTGGAATGTGAAGGCTTTCTGTTGAAACAGGATCCATGCTTTAATTCCAATGAATAATAGTTAGTATACATAAAGTCAGCCTTAGCTTTTGTTCAACAAATATTAATCAATTTAATCTAAATGTAGGGTCAGAGCT